TTTTAGCGTAATTTGAAGACTTGCATACACAATTATAAGCGTAAAAATCTTTAACAGGTTAATTCAACATAAGGTGACAAGAAGTAGAATTTTTTTCAAATAATTAAAGACAGTGAAAGCATTAACATTATACTACAGTCATAATCAATCAAATGAAGAAGTTTATTACTTTTGAAAAACACTTTAAAGTTAATTACTATATAAACAATTCAGAGATTAAATATCCACTGGTCGTAACTACTATTAGCCGTACTTAAAAAGAAGAAACAACAAAGGACTTGATGACATTCACTCTTTTAATAAGAAAAATATAAATTTTCGGGAAAAAAGACCATACGCTACATAGTTTGCGCTTAGACATACGATGGCGACTGTCATACTTTTGACTACTTTAGAAACTAGAAAAAGGTATAGCAAATTATTGTACAGATGAATAGTTAACAATGTATAGTAATACGTTTCGATGTACTTACATGAGAGTTAGTGGAAAAAATGTTTGAAATGTTTTCTGAAAAGAAAAGAAAATTTTTACTTCTTTTGAGACTTTCAAAAAAAAAAAAAAAAAAAAAGGTATAATAAGTCAAACTTTCTGAGACGGAAATGTTAGAAAATCAACAGACTGATTGTAAACTGGTCCTTTCAAATAGAAAGTGGTCATGAAAAATCAGCAAAGTAAAACATATCTTTGCAAAAATGTCGTACATGCATCACGTGAAAATTAACAGGACATGCACACTTAGAAACTGAATTATTCATTATTGAATTGAATGTTAACGAAACAGAAATATTTATTACAATTGTTGGACAATGGTGGCCTTCTTTTTGTTTTCGCTCAGTTGATATATATATTTTTAACCTTTATTTATAAAGATCACTTTTTACGCAATTATGCTTAAAGTAGAGTACATCAAAGCAAATAAAAAAAGAACAATGCTATCGATTTTATGTTGTTTATGGAACAGTCTGTTTTCTAGATATTACGAAAGTGTGAGAACATTCTCCTGTTATTACTTTTATCAATTGTATTAATGTATCAAACATTAGTCATATAGTATAGATCTTGGGTTCATGTTTGTTGGTTTTTGTTTCTCCAAAACATTTTGAAGTAAAAAAAACAAAAACAAAGTTTAATCCTTTATCTCCAAGATGTCTTAATTTTTACGTTTTGATGCTTAATTAAAAGTTCAGAATAGCTTCATTGACTGTTTCAGGCTGCTTTGATCTGTACAAGGTCCTTACATATATAATTTGTCTCGCTAGAATTTCTTTTTTAAAATTAAATTAAATAATATCATTGATAATATTATTTTGTAAATTTTAATTGAAGTTTGTCCATCGTCTGCCTTAATATTGTTTCATATATCATGAAGAGGGCCAAAATCCGTCAAACCCAAAACAAAACATCAATGGGTAAAGTTGAATCAATTAACTTTAAATGATGGATCATAAGCCGTTCAAATTGTAAGCTCCCAAGAATTGGTACGAATACATGAACATCCAAAAAAATAGTAGAAAAAGATTAATTTATAAAAACTTCGGAAGTCAAAAGTAAAATGTACTTGAATCTATATTATGTAAGAAAATTCTTATCCATCATGAAGTTTTTATTATGAAAAACTCACTTCTTTGACAGGCTCACATTAACGATTGATGTAACATTTTGGCCCTTATTATTAAGAAATAATAATAAAAAAAATTATTTATATCTTTATTCCACAGAAGAGATTAAACAAGTGGATTCATGTAATGTTACCAAAAAAGAAAATTTAAGAAATGTTTTGCTCATTTATCTTCTTTTTTCATTAAGGACCCTCTATACACTTCTTTTTGCATTAAGGACCCTCTTTTCATTTATACGGAAGAAATCCAATTCCTTGGTACTTTTATACAATTAGAGATTTAAATTTGAACAAAAACCTGAAATATATGTCTTGTAATCAGTCCCAGTATCCGAATGTATTAGACCAAAACAAAGTAATACAATACTAGTACATGTTTTCCCCGTTTTTCAGTAAGCAAGAATACTTTGGTGTCTTTGAACATTTTTCCTTGAAGAGAATGCAGATCTATTTTGAAAATGAAATAAATCAACTCAATATTTTCAACTTTATACTATAAAATTATTCAAAAGTCAAAAATTAAAAACAAAATCTTCAGAACATAGAGGATCCACAGTATGTGAAAGATCTCTGTGAATTGATTTACATTCGAAATGCACATTGATAATGTATATTTTAAGTATTTGAATTTGAAATTGTTCTCATTCTTGAAAATATAGTATTTTTATGATATGTTCATAAATTGTGAAATATATAGCGATCGATCGAATTTAAAATTTGTTTGAAAACAGTTCAGATATCAAAATTTATAAGTTTATAAGCTTAGCACGATCTTCCACTCTATTAATGGTTATATGTAATTTTGAGTTACCTATGATTTCTCATATTGAAATGCTCCTTGCTCTACCAAATTACTTTTTCCTATTTCATTCAGTTATCTTCGTGTTGTTGATATAAACAGAAGGTGAATGTTTTTTTTTTATTTTAAAGATCTTCAATTTATTATATACATGTAAGTAGTTCTACCTCTGACCAGAATTGAATTGTTTTTAGGCTATTCAACACGTGTTTCAAGTCACAGAAAGAGATTTTTTTTCATCGGCGTCACAGACTTCTAAAAAAATTACTTTTTTTTTATATTTCCCCCCTGTTTTGAACTACTTATTTCTTTTGCAGTAATTTATGCATGTATAAATTTTTGTTTGATAATTCAGAATTCCTTGTCAATCATTTAGAAGTAGTTTAAAGGTATACTAGTATATTGTTTTAGTGATATAAAGTACGAACACTAGCCACTCCATTGGCTGCTTTATTATAATTGTAGAAGTGAACTCAGTATTGTCAACAAAGTTGTTGGATAGGTTAACCACCACCAGGATTTAAGCAGCAGTCAACCAAACAATCACGCGACTTTAATTAATTGTTTTAATATGATTGATGTTTATCATTTGAACCGACCGCTTTTGATCTTCTTACAGTGCAACATTGCTGATTCAAGACAATTCTTAGAAGTGGCACGTACTTTTTTGAGTTCATGGGAGTCAATTAAATCAGTGTTACATTTTGTCTTACCTCTTCTTGTAAATTTCCCAAATTAAATTAATATATATATATATATATATATATATATATATATATATATATATATATATATATATATATATATATATATATATATATATATATATATATATATATATATATATATTAATTTTACACAGGGCTCTTATGCAAAACCTGGCAGGATTCATTCATTTCTTTATCGATTCTTTTAACGTTATCAAGTATGATTATGTAATACAATTATTAATTTAAATGATACTCAGCTTAAAAACTGATTAAATAAAATTTGTCGAAGTAAAAATTTTAGGAAATGACAAAAAATATCAAAAACAAAAAAGATGGCATTAAGTATTGCTCTAGAAGTATGGAACTAAACAGATTTCATATAGAATCGTCATGGGTATTGGCTTCAAACTGTAACTACCATTGTTGTTTAATGCTTATTGTTAACTACTATAATCCTTGAAAAGTAAGACAAAGCCTTCAGTTAAAATGAAATAAACTTTTCTTTTGGATTGTTTTAATTATCGTGTGTATGCAATTATTTGTTGATGAATATAAAGGCTGTTAATTTGTTTCTGAGGATCAGTATACAACTGTATCTTGTATTATTCATATCTATGAGCTTTGTCTGTTATCAATAAAATAATAAATAGTGGTAGTAGTGCTATTTTTGATAATTCTACAAAATTCTAAGCAACATCTCCATCCGTCACTTAATTAAGGACAAACAATAATCATACAACTTTTGTGCAGCAAAAGGTGTTGTAGCTAGAATCTTTAAATTAAAATTATCAATCATAACAGACAAATTTAATTTTAAACATTCCCATTTCATACTTTCTGTTCTTATTATCTCCAACCGTATTACAGTGTATCACTTAATAAGACTACATTGCTTTTGTTTTTGCACTTGTAGAGACGTGATCATTCAATGTTTTTCGGATCGAATCATCGATGTTATCGAAATTTTTGTGGTTCTGGTTACATAATGGGCGTTCAGAATATTTGTTGTTTGGAAAGACGACACAATTAATGGCAAAATCACAAAAAACACGTAATTTTCACCGATAAGATGAGCAGAAAAATAGGCAATAAGTATATCTGGGCTCTGTGATCAATAACTATTTTTGCATCATAATTCTATTCTCACTTTTTTGTTTACTCACTTTTTTGGCACTAATTAGATGTCTAATTTTAAAATTCATTTGTAATTGTTTTGAATTTTTTGGTTATATTTTGCTTACTTTATGCCAGATTGTGACTCAAAAGTATAAGTCACAATACAAAGATGTATAATGATATGTAAATCGTATGATATCAAGGAAGAAAAAATTAATTTAACACGATTATTTTCCATGTATAGAGCAAGTGTTCATTCACAAATCACAGAAAGTGTATACATTTAAGATTTTACGTCTAATAAGTAGTTTGCTATTGGCCAAAATCGTATACATTTCCATGTATGAATAATTTAATGAATGACACTAGTAATTGCTTAATTGATATTTGGTTATACCTGGGCTTTCGCCTACTCCACTCAGGTGTAAGAGATCTATGGCAATGTTAAGCACCTCTATGAAACCGTTATGTACAATTCATTAAGAAATGACAACACTGCTAACAAGATATGTTTTATGTTAATAATCACAATAAGGAAAGTGGTTAGCTAAATAGAATGGTGTCAGTTTGTTTGTCTCATAAACGCCGGAGGCCCCCTTGGGATCAAGTGAACTTTATCGACGCTTTCATTCGACAGGATGCTAATTCAAGTATTAATTAACCTTAAGGTCGTCCTCACATTTGCCATGACGTCATTCAGGTAAAATAATATAAAAGAAACCAAAGGTTGGCTTTCTGTATCACTTCTCATCTAACTACAACTCTAAGTAATAACTTAAACTTAGACCTGATCATGCCTGAAGGACCGGTCTCTGTTGCTAAAGTTGTAAGTTCAACATTGAAAAAGATCCGTTACGGAGGGAAGACTAAACCAGAAAAAACGGATATGGAACCCCGAAATGTGATCAAGAGACAGGAGATAGAACTGCAAAGATGCTGGGAGGGCAAGCTTGTCTTCCTCCTTCATAATGTGTTCACCAAAAAGGTAAATTTGTATTAAATACTGAGCATAGCTTTATATTTGATGATTAACAATATTTTATTCATTTAATTCATAGACTTATTAGCAGATTCTACATGAATCTGATAATTATTTTAAGAATAATAATGTTTCTTCAGTTTATGGGATTTAAGATACTTATATATTAACATCTTCTACACAGGAATGCTTACAAATGATAAAAGAATCAGAAAAGCGAGGATTTACCCCAGCTATGATTCACACTGCTGATGGAAAGTAAGTATGAAGAGGTCTGGCAAAGATAATAAAAAAATGATGTAAAGACCTTTGGCAATTGTTCAGCATACTTCAAATATTAAATAAGATATTCATTTTATAGGGAAATTAAAATGACAGACACAAGAAACAACTACCATAACTTTTTGGACTCGGAAGAGGAGATGGAGATAATTCACAACAGACTGAGACCATTCATCCCTAGCCTCTGGAGAAATCACAAGATCGTGGGCCTTAACGAAAGGTAAGGGGGTTTATAAATTCGATCTCTCGTTTAATTTGCAATGAAAATGTAATTATTTGGTCACAATTTTTATTTTCTTGAATATAGTTTTGTTTTCTGTATTGTGTAGGCTTCGGGTACAGCGTTATGACTCTGGGGAATACTTCAAGCCTCACTTTGATGCAAGCTATCGGCGGGAAAACGGAGAGAAAAGCTTCCTCAGCGTGCAGATTTATCTGAATGATGTAAGCCTTCATTACATATTTTTTTTCTTTAAATGTCCATTAATCAGCTAAGAGCACCGATAGTGAAATATTATCAAGATAATGAAACGAACCAATTTCATTATAGGATTTTGTGGGAGGAAACACTACTTTCTTAGACCTTGCAGAATCGGAGAGAACTGAAGTTGAGCCCAAAACAGGTAATTATTACTTATTAAATTAATGATTTTCATGTAAAACATTTTTTATTTACACTGTTTTTTTTCCTGACAGAAGCACTCGTATGATGAGTGATTACTCCAATTCCCATCAGCTTATTAAGATTTTTTTTTGTTTTTCACAAATCAAGGTTCAGTTCTGATCTACCAACACGACATCTTACACGAAGACTCAGCAGTTCTTTCTGGTAGAAAGTACGCCCTCAGAACAGATGTCATGTACTCCGCTGAAAAGGTGGAGGACGAAAAAGAACTCAGACGACTCAAGAAAAATGACAAGGGCAAATTCGGAATGTTCATGTAAATGTCGAAGTTATTACTTTCACTACGCAGAAATGCCTTATATTTACATAGTGTCCTTTTTTAAAGACTGTCATTGTGTTTTATGTTATTCCAAGCTTCGCTTCTGTGTACCTTTAGCCTGGATAGTAAACACGAGAGTCTATCCAGCGATATAGTGTACATTATTCAACTGCGCTGTAGTTATATGTATGAAAGTGCTCAATCAATTTTTTCCCAATTTTTTGTGATATAATAAGAATTCCCATATTGCATTCATGAACTTCATATTTATTCAATATTTTAGAAACATGTACATGCACTTGTATTTTACTTCGTAGACAATAGAAATTTTGTACAAAGTATTTATTATAATTTGTAAATAAACTGTTCTAAATCACAATTTTTTGTACTTCTGTGTTATACCTTAGGCAAATTACACCATGATGTCCAATAGGCCGATACAATTTATACCAATCAAAAATTGATTGTTCATGAATACTGGATATGACATGTTGAATATCTGAGAGAGTATTTTAAAATACAACAGCAATATGAAAACTGAAAAGACTTAATATTAAGGGATTTACTTAGTTTCTGTAAGGTCTATCAATGACCCTGCCTCCGTCACTTTCAACAATATAGGACTATTGGACTTCCTCTTCTCATATGGATTAGATCTATATGCTTTTGTTTGTCTTTTCCCTGTTTCTTTGTCTGACAAATACTTCCGTCTATTCTGCAGAGCTTCTCTCAGTCTTACCCAGACCATGTCTATTGTGTCTGCTAATTGAGGAGCGAAGGCTAACAAAGAATTCACGAATGTTTCTCTCTTTTCGTTGGGAATCTCTCTCAAAACAGGTGGATTGTCCCATATTTGAGCAACCTGAGCAGCGTTACGAATTGCAAGAGATCCCAAATGCTGGGCTTCGTTTGGTTTGCTGCGAATAGACTTTCTCTCCAGGAGAGCTTCTGCACTATACCTTTTTATCCTTTGTTTTTCTTCCGCTGTTATAATATTAAGAGATCGAACAACTTGATTTTGTGAAATGTTTGTGATTGGTTCCCCTGTGGGAATTATAACAGTGTCGGGTCTAGGCACACGTTCTTCTACAGAACTGGATACCACGTGGTGCATAAGAGGACTTCTGACTGGTTTAGGGAAGGAATGGACATCCGAATGTGAAGAAAATGAAGAACCACTGCTGGCACTGGAACATCCGGGTTTGGACACATTTTCCAACTTAACTTCGGATGGTCTAGTCAACTGAAATGTTTCTTTCTTTGGCTGATTGTGCTGTAAATTGTGTTGAGAATAAGGAGCCTGGAACGTGGAGTATGTTCTTGGATGGCTGACGTTAGCAGGCGCTTGATAAGTATGTGCAGGTGACTTTGGTTGTGGTGAGCTTGCTGTGAAAGTCTTACTAACAACGGGCCTTGCAGTGTTGTTTGCTTGTCCAAGACTTAAAGCATTCGCTTGCAAGATCTGAGAATTATGCATTCCCGTCGGTTTTGTAAACGATTTGAATTCACGTATAGTTTTTCTAACTATGAATCGGTCCTTGAAGACAGAAAACGCATCATGAATGTCTTCTTCACAAAAGTCCAAAAGCATTTCACCAGTAATACCATTGTCTGCGATTTTAGAGAAAACAAAAAAAAAAAATTAAAAAATCAAACAAATGTCTTCAATAGAAGTGCAGAGAGAGAGAGAGAGAGAGAGAGAGAGAGAGAGAGAGAGAGAGAGCTTGTGCTTGAAAGCTTAAACATTTATACCTCTGACACTTTGTACACCCCTTGGACTCACTCCGCGGGCGGCGAGATGTGCACTTAGCGTTTTTGGGTCCCAAATCTTCATCTGTTGTCCAGACATAACGCAAATCAAACATCAAGAGATCCTGAAATGCATGTAGTAATTGTAAAAAAAAACCCAACTAACTACCATTGTTAAGATATAGCTACAAAGACAAAAAGGTTGTCTCAAGTAGAATGTCAAAAGTCCATTGAAGCAAATTGTTATTATACAAATTGTGGGCAGGGCAAACCAAGACCTCTTAACACATAACAGGTGGGATCAGGTGCCATAGAGGAGTATGCATGCCCGGTTATACCCGCCGTGTGCTTCTTGCCATTTCACACAGGTATGTTTGCGAATTCTATTGCCACTCAAATCAAATGCGTGGAAAATAATATACACTTCAGACGACATTTATTCTAAAGGAACGTGCTGAGTAGTTTAAAGCCCCGACAGTTTGAATGGAATATTAATTTTTTATAACACATGTTCAAATGGTTTAATAAAGATTAATTTGGAATTCACATTTAAATCATGAACTTGAACATAAACAAGCACTTAATAATTATCTTTTCAATGCTATTTCTCTCTTTCAATTTTGTTATTAATTGTATCGTATGTATACACTCGCTTTAAATCTAAGAGGTTATGGGGTGTCTTTAATCTCCTTTACATAGAGGTGGCGACCGTTGAGAGATTGCTGAGCGTTGCAAAATTGACCAAATCTCAAGACATCCCCATGATCTCTCAGTATTCTCTCAGAGGTTTGCACGGTCTACATTGTCTCCTAAAATTCTACTCTACCGGAAACAATCTCTCGATGATCACAAAGGTAAACGGTCTCTAAAAGAACCCCAAGGATCGCCCAAAAAGCACAGATGATCGCCAAAGGATCTTTCTGATCTTCCAAGGATCTCTCAGTGGTCATTCAAAGAAAGAAATGTTCGCAAAATGTTCTGAATGCCAAATGGTAGATACGTCGGAGAAATCATTGGAGGATTGCAGAGATACCATCTGAGTTTACTAGAGAATCCATCAGAGATTGAACTTTAGGAGATATAATTATATTGGGAGATCATTTAAAGATCTTCGGAACTGGAATGTGATCTTGGAGAAACTGCCGCTGAAACATCTTCAGCTTTTCATTACACAACAAGCGCATAATGATCTACCTAAAACATTTACCCAAAACTGTGCTTGTAGAAATCGCTGAGAGATCTGACAGGTTTTGAACCTGTCAGTGGCCCAACGTAAATAATCCTGTAAAAAATGACACACTCTAAAATTTTTCCTCTTTCCTTTTTTTTTTTAATTTTTTGATTTAAGAATTTCTCTCTCCATAAACTTAATTATTGTATTATGTACATGTATCTCATATAATTGTACTTACACCAAAAAAAAAAAAAAAAAAAAAAAACCCAAAACAAAACCAAAAAAAAAAAAAAAACAAACAAACAAACAAACAAAAAAACCAAAAAAAAAAAAAAAAAAAAAAAAAAAACCAAAAACAAAAAGACAAAAAACAAAAAAAAAAGCATGAAAAACATTGCTTTAAGTTGATATTTAGAAAATGTAGAATATGATTAGTGTCATAACATTCAAACATGTTTAAAATATAATAGTAGTGAGTGAAAGAAATGTAAATATGATATACATGTACATGTAATAAAGGTGATCTGCGGTTCTACAAGGTGTATGTATTGTACACTACATCATTTTTTTTCGTTTTACAAGGTGACTGAATACTGATTCCTTCCCTATAATCTCATTATTATTTTATTTACATGTATTTTTATCTTTACATTCATTGATATAAACCTTTTCACACTTGAGCATAATCTCCCCGCGATCATCTAAAGGTATAATCCTATACACCCAGCATATTGTTGTACACGATTTTTAGTTCATCATTAATCGGAAATCATTTTCAAAGTTCCTAAATATACAGAGTTCCAATCTTTCAATTGGCGACGGAACTCTATTGCTATTATGAATTTTGTGGACGATTATGCCTGACGATGGGCGAAATATATAGGGGAAGACCCGAACATTTTGTCAGAATTGATTAAGTGCTATAGAAATATATTAAATAATCGTGTTAGAAAGTTAAAAGGTCATATGCGAACCTCTTTCCTTCCGTTTTCACTAAATCGGAAGTAGTAAATGAATACCCCGGTAAGAAAGACGACAAGAACAATATACATGTATATGTTATGGTTCTAGCAGACAAGGCTGGTAACAATATTGTGTTTGATTTTAAGTCTCATACATGTATTACAGCTGTATTTTAGAAGAACATGGTTGTGATTTTACATCTCGAAACCCAAATTAAACTCACAGTATAAGAATGAAATTCTTCAAAATCACATTTCAGTCTTTCATACTTTTAACTTTTCAGTTAACGAAAGTGAGTTCGATCTATCCTACCTCAAATGGATTTCTAAACTTCATAAAAAAAAAAAAAAACCGTACAAAGAAAGATACACTGCGGTGTCCAGCAATTGCTCTACCGAGGCCCTGCCCTTACTCCTCACAAAAATATTAACTGCTGCAAAGGAGGCATTTCAGACGTCCTGTGCTACAGCATATGCTAGAAGTGATGTAAATCAAATATGGATTCTCAAAAACTGCAAAGAACTTTCAGAAAATTTAAAAATATCTTTTTTTATGTCAGTAACATTAAATTAAAACTAATGACTTAACTACACTTTATACAATCATTTCTCACGATAAATTAAAATTAGGCTTTTTGATATCTGATAGACAACTACAACTGCTTCTTCAATAAAAATGGAACTCGGAGATTTTCTTATTTTAATTTGTCATTGGTCATCTAAAAAATGACTGTGAAAAATCACTGATTCTAAACACAAGTATTCTAGCTGAGGTTAATACCCTGTTCACAGATTTACATTGTGTTGAGATCGATCGCTGTTCGTTATCTTCACTGTTTTTCATTACAACCCTTCTACTTCGTGTATACTATGTACATGTACTACAAAATCAAACCCAACATATTACCTCTTCCTATTCTACATTTTTTTTCCCAAGAAGAGCATGGTGTTTTTAAGTGCGTGATACGTTCGTTTCATACTGTTTGCAAAAAGATATATTCTTCTCTGACGCATGCGCTTTAGAAAATCCAATTAAAATACCATTACTTATTATAACATCATTTAAAAATATCAATTGTGAACTCTGGTGAACGAATGCACATTAAGTACTTCGATCGTTGCTTTAAGACACACATACACAGTGCTGTTAACATGTCTGACCTTTATTTACACACACATGCACTATAGTGGAGTTAGCGTACATAATTTTACAACATTTATAGATGTACCCAACTGATGCCATGCAATATACTAACCTTTAGAAACTGATGCTTTATTTGCAGCTTTAAATTCTCACTGCAAACTTCCTTTTATATCATGAAATAAAACAATCTTCTGTGTTTCACATCCACCACAAGGGATGGAAAATCATTAAAAGTAATGGAGGTCACGTGGCCTATTACAAAGCGCATGGATCGTCTGCTTCTTGTCCATTAACAATAATGTAGTATATGTATTCATACAAAGTAATTTTACAATGCACTGATTTTGTGGTCCAAGCAATAAACGGCTAAATAATCATCAGTTTGATGTCAGTAATAGTCATGTTTACAGTGTATATTGAATGGTTAAAGAATCTGCATGTATTGTACTTATATACCATTTAGATGTAGATAAATTTACATTGTATACATTATAAAAATTTAAAATCTGTAAGTAAGTACGGAGACTTGGAAACATTCCTGATTTGACTTCAATATACTTGTTGGAGTATATAGCAAAATAATGTATATTATCCCGTATAATTTCAGTTATACATTGTGTTCAATTTACAATTTTACTTTCTTTGATTTGCAATACATTACAGTGCTCACATAAAGTGGAATTAAGACTATTTTTGTTCAGTAGAATCTTAAAGTATTTATGATATATATGTTACATTTCACTTTGCAACTTTCATTTTCATTGAAAAACAGCGTAAATAGATTTTTGGATTCATAAACTATAGTATAAATCACAGGCACTTGGGGTATGGACCACCCCTTTTCCATTTTTTTTATTTTTAAGAGGGCTGGGTGGTTGTGGTCATTTTCAGACTATATTGATCTCCTTCAGAAGAAGAGCTCCATATAAAGATATACAAAAATGATCAAATCTTAAAACTAAAATGTATGAAATTTTTCTTTGCCAAATTATAGTTGACAGCTTAAGATATCATATCTAAAAAATAAAGTTATATCTGATGGTTAATTTGTTGACCCCCCAGCCTGGCTGGGACGGAAGTGTCCGGTATTTTCGGGCGTCATCATTAAACGTAATGTCATTCGGAACATTAAATGCAAGAGGGAAAATCCCGAATTTTCTCTTCATATTACATGTAACGGTAAGTTCTGTGTATAACAAGATAATTCTAACTAGCAGATTCTAATGGATGAAGATTAACATTTAACATACGACCTAGACAACCAAATTTCTCAATATTTTTTGATTACATAGCTTGGAATTTTTATCTAATGCAGAACATTTGTAAAGTTAGAGTTACCGTTATTGCACTTCCGTCCCAGCTAGTGCACATAAATAAAATTTACCCTAGATGCGGTTGATTTAATCGAAATATTTACAAATCGGGGGAACATAAAAATTAAATGGAAATATAAAAAGGAAGAAGAATGTGTAACAAATTTATTGATGTATGCATATCCAATGTGTTCTTATGCTTTAGATAAATAATCAGGCGAAGTTTAAGCGAGATGAGGCAGACGACGAGAAAAGAGTTGCAAGCCTTCTCTCTTTTTATGTATCAGTCGAAAACGGTATATTTAAAAACACCATATAGAGACAAAAGAGTTACATTATTGATAATATAAAGTGCATATTAGAATATAAAAATAGGAAAAAGGTGACTTGACCCCAGATTTAAAAAGGAAAAAAAATGGAAAGGGGGGGGGGGTTCCATACCCCAAGTGCCTGTGATAAATTGTACTTACCGTGTGCAATTACATTATAGTTTTATAGCGATAAATGTTAATTAGGTCTATTGTTTATCTCTCAAAACTATAGTTAACAAACATAAATCATAGTGTGTACGACTGTTACCGAAAGTTCAAGTCCGCGAAAACCATAAATGTATAACATAAATAAAATTTCACGATTGATAGTCAACTCTTATATATATATCTAATGGCTTAACGATTTTTTTTAATAGTTTACAAATGAAAAATTATATTTATCAACAAAAAATATCATTAATATCTATTTATGATTCGCAAAAAATTACAGCTAATAAACTAGATTTATAGTTTTATATGCATTTTATGGTGAACGTTCTACCTGGGAATAAACGCTATTTTTCTTTTGGCTGATAAATATTAATTCTCATTTGTGAACTGTAATTAATTAACATTCATTAAACATAGTTAACAGTTATTAATCATAGTTTCACTAATCGTGGAACTATATCAAATAAACTAATTTTTTTTTTACATTTATAAATCATACTAGTAGTTTTCGGTCGTAAACTTACACTCATAAACTATATATTCTATGATCATACATTAGTTCGAGTAAAGAATTGCTGATCACAGTTTCACAAATCATGATACTATGTTTATTAGATAAAATATGTTTAACATTTGTAAATTATAGTTTTCGGATGTAAACTATATAGCTAACACTACTTAATTCTCGAAAACTATATTTAAATGATGTAAACTTTCTTAAACATTTAAACTTAGTTTAAAATTGTTAACCATGCATAGTTTAACAAAAGTGAACCTTTATTTATCAGGAAAACCGTAGTGTGCACTTGCAAATGATATAGTTTTCACTGTTAATTAAATATTAATAATTTATTTAGTCAGTTGCATGGCGACCTGCTGGAATTTATTCCACTCATTAAAAAACTGTATATATGTACGTTTCACTGCCTCTATATATTATAAATGAGAGGGAAACTAAAGTGTGGAACAAAAGCAGCAAATATACTCTGTATAATACAGTATGCACCTTGAACTGCTAGTATATATATTTTAAAGATGTGAATTTGTGCGTGTATATTTCTTTTAAAATAAAATTGTGTCCCATAACTACTTGTGGATGTTACATCCAAGACTTTCACTACGTCATTTCAATTTAGTCGTTTCTACATGTTGGAGAGAATATTTGAAATGGTGCATTATCCGTAAATCGTGTTTAGTACCTGATAACCTATTTCGAGTAAATTCTCTCTATGCAACTTATTCAAACCGGGACGTTATATATGAGATCTTGGCCACTTTTTAACAATACTAAAAGCATGTCATAAACAAATTATTTAAAAACAGTTACTATACTTCGTTTTTCATAACATCGTCATGTTACTATATAAATCCTTTTTATCTTAATTACTAGCTTGAGATCAGAGTAACGAGGGGAAAAATAAATTTAATTAAAATCAGGGACCTATATACTAACAGATATAGGCCCCTGTTAAAATATAAAAACTTCATACCAGGATTAATCGATATTTCATTATATTTTCAGTACCTTATGGAAAAAAAAATCATGCATATATACCAGTCATTCCATGCAGGATTCGAACAGGTTAAAAAAAGACAAACGCGGTATACGGTCATCCTGCTTAACCACTAGAAATATCCCGAAACGCTATATATATGATACGGTGGAAATTTATGTACACCTTGCATTTTGTAGGGACACATTTTCCCATAATTCAATTTTATAAAAATATGCCCCTTTTAAACAAAAAATCAGAAATAATAGTTTTGAAGTGAGAATATTGCTGGCTTTTAATGTTCATATCAAATTCATTCTGTTTCAATGTGGCAATTGCTTTTTTTTTTTTTAGAATAATGAGGATTCCTATATTTAAAAAGCACAAAATCTGTCATATTTTGCTGTGTGACTTACAAGTAATTATATTTCGTTTAATCATGAATTAGAAATCGATACGAAGCTTCCAAATATACATGTAATTCTACATTCTTCGGGGCCTCGGCTCCATTACTTTTAAGGAATGGAGCGCTAGTACTCGTACATTAACCCTTACATAAACTTGTTTTTCAACTGTAAAAATTTGTTTAAGCGCATTTTTGCAATTTTTTTTCATATCGGGTTCAAAGTTCTGTAAGAACCCGGAAATAATTTTCAAGATGGCGACTATGGAAGAGGGATTGCACTTAGAAAAAGGTTTGATAGTTCAATTTAAGCACTTGTAAAGAAACGAGGTTTGTAATTATATCTAGAGATTAAGTCTTTCAATACTTGATGATTGATTGCTAGTTTTAAACGAAGGAAAATCATGCTTAAAGCACCTGGAAAAGACTTTGCTCGCTAGAAAAATCTTATCACTTATGTTTCAGGACAAATCGTCGTCACAAAATATTGAATGAATTCATATATTATAAAAAACTAAAACATTTTTGGTTGTAAGTTTGTGATAACTAAAATTATATGATTTTTTTTTTACTAGAAAACAAGTCTCTTTGGTTTCTTTTTATTTTATTAACTTTGGTTGTGTTGAAGCATCTAATATTTTTTTTCTTCTTGTAGATATCAACAGAGCGATTGATCTTTTGGATGCCCTTCAAAAAAGTGAGAGAACAGCGTATTTTTCATACATTTCAACTTCTATAGAAGTGATTGGGAAGGCCAAGAAGGTCAATGGGACTATGGTGCAACTGTTAATATTTTTAATGGGGCATTTTGAAAATAAATGGGCCATCTATATATTCTGAAGGACCATTTTTAGAATTAATGAAATGACATACAAATGTGAAAAATGAAAGAAAACACATTTTTATTAACCAAATCTTATTTTTCACATATGCAATGTATCAAATTTATAAGAACCCACACAGAATATAATTTACACAAATTTGTGGATCAGTAACTTCAAAATTTAGATAGAGCATTAGAAATAAGTGAGGTAATGTACCTTGTTTATTGTCCTATTAAGTGCTTCATATAACTGGAAGCAGTATTTGACAGGTTTTAACCAATGAGATTTGTTGTTTTAAAACCAACTGCATTTTAAACGAAAGTAAAACTAGTAAGAAAGTTCTACGCAAAATATTTTCAACTAACATCATTAACATTGCTAAAAATTGAATGTACACCTTGGCGCCACCAATGCATTGATTTAATGCGCCGATTTTCACTTCAGTGCGACTATGGTGCATGACGCAAGTCCTTCCCAATCACTGCTTTAGTATTATCTTTAGAGTAGCGGACAGGCATACAATGAAAGTTTGCGAAAAGAAGTGGATAAAGGCTATCATAACCATAATCTTTCTTTTTTTATTCTTATCTTAGGTTAACTATATACCTTTCATGAGAAATTATAAAAAGAAACTCAAAAATCAGAAGAACTTGACAAAATTTGAAGGAATTAAACTGAAAAAACAAAGTTCTTTTTCATGAGACACACTCAGCATTTTAATCTGGGACAGAGATTCTGAGAACATGAAAATTGATTAACAGAAAGAAAGTGCTTTTTGTGTAGTAGGGCTCAATAAAATTGTCAAAATCATCACTGCTGACATCATAATCTATTATTAAAATGATTTTTAAATACCCTGGCCATCTTTCATTTATTTATGCATGTTTCATCGTCGCAAACCATGTTTAAGAGTCCACAAGCTACCTCCTGTTGATAGAGAGAATCGATGTGAATCCACCGTGGGTTACCAATGATGTGCACATTTGTGTACATTGAAAACGTATCCCACTTCCGTACTGAGATGGATACTATTTGTACCTCTATCATATGGAGAGCAACAATCTTAAAACTTTCTTATTAGTACAGAAGGTGTTAATTGTGACTGTTGCTCTCAAATACATTTTGAAACATACTGAATATCAAACATATACTTGTTCTCTAATCAGTTGCATTCACATTATATTGTTTTATGAAATGAAATAAATCTCTGAACATTTCAAAGTCTCAAAAGATACCAAACTAAAAACTATGATGAACCATATGCACATAAATTTGTGCATGTGACAATTCTTGTATTTTTACTTGTTGTTAGTTATGTTATTCATCATGGCATTGAAGTGTACATGACAGGTATTAAATAAGACATGTTACATGTAAAAACATAATAAATAGCTCGACTCTTAAAAGCTCCCATATTTGTTGTTGCTGTTGTCATTGGTTGTTATTGTTAGATAAGTTCACAACTGTTAATTCACAGGTGGACAGATCCCATCGCAAAAATTAGCAGCATTGCAAAGAGTGCTTCAAAGTGATTTCCTAAATTCCGTGAGGGAAGTTTACGAACATGTCTATCAGACTGTAGACATCAGTGGAAATGAAGAAGTCAGAGCTAATGCAACAGCCAAGGTAAGGGGGGGGGGGGGGGCAACTCCATGTGATCAGTCATCATAAAATTTCATGAATTCAGAAAGGAAACAAGTATTCCACAAAATTTGTGGTAATATATATTTTTTTTAATTTAGTTTAAATTACAATTCATACATGCATTACAAAACTTTAGAATCATGTTCACAATAATATTTAGCATGCTGATTATATCAGAGAATGCATGAGGATATGACCCTACTCCTCCCTTCTCTAAGAAGCACCCCCTTGCCTTTTAAATAAAATTATCCTTCTATGGCTTAGGTAAAATGTATTCATTACATGTACCACCAGTTAAAAAAGTGAGGCAAACATTTTGTGAAAAATATGTTCACTCAATAAAAAAAAATTCATATGATGGATTTCCTCATCTGCAATCAGAGAGACACTGTCATGAATTTTTTTTTTCATTATTGTCTCATAAAACTGCACTACAGGTAAATTTAACCCTTGCCTTAAAGTAATACATGTATGTTTACATATGTATCTAATTTATTTGTCATAAACAAAACATTATAATTTACTGTTAATTTTTTAATTGATTTTTTAGTAATAATTTGTATAATTTAATAATTTTTTGATAATTTGAATTACCCGGTAATTTTTTACAAGTATCTATCAATAATTTTTGCGCTAAGCTTATTTCTATCAATGGAAATTAAAAGGAGACAACTTTTCCATCAAGTACACAAAGTATGATGAATGTCTGTATACACACAGAGTATTTTTGCAAGGACCTGTAAATGGATGGAATATTATCAACACTATTTACCATCCAAACATGCATATATCCATATACGGTATACTGAAATAATTATATTCGTTGGGGATTAAATTTCGTTTATTTCATTGTTAACAATTGTCAATGAAATTAAATTCTACATGAAATTTTTATATGACTATATATATTGAATAGGGTTATTAAAAACATCGAAATTAAATGCCCACAAAAACTTTTTAAATGACAAATCAGCGAAATTTTATCCCTATGAAAATTTGTGCTTCTGCAGTATATTTAGCAGGGTTGTCCCTAAGAATTAAAAGAGCAGGGGACAATCAAAAAGTAGAGGAGGGTCTTGAGCTCTTCCATTAACAGAGTGATATGGAGAATACTAGAGTATCTGGGGAATTATGTTATTATAAATGGGGAAATTTCCCGGCCCCTGGGTCTTAGGGACAACTCTGTATAATCACCTGTATCAAAGAAGCTGGTAGAAGAAATAATTTCCCTTAACAGTTATGATATAATCTGTAGATATTATGCATCCAGTCCCAGCATGGGGAGGTTGGAGAGTACAAGTCTTTACACTTGAAGTCAGGCAAACATTTTATTCATTTACCTTTTATTACAGGCAACAGTTGCAGCTTTTGCGGCCAGTGAAGGACATGCCCATCCTAGAGTGGTAGAGCTTCCCAAAACTGAAGAGGGACTTGGCTTTAATGTAATGGGTGGAAAGGAACAAAATTCTCCCATCTATATTTCTAGAATTATCCAGGGTGGGGTTGCTGATAGACATGGGGGTTTGAAGCGTGGTGATCAACTTCTTTCTGTAAATGGTGTGGTAAGTATTCTTAGGAAAAGAGTGTCAATATTTTAATTAACATTTACATTAATTTGTTTTTAAATCAAATTAATAATTCTTACCTGTAATACTCAGTTAGCAACAGTTAAACTAGTATTATTAAACCAATTCATATCAAATAAAGAAACTAGTTATTTCATAAATTGAAAAGGAAAGGTATGACAGACACAGGTATAATTTTTACTAAATATCAATAGAATTATATACATGTAAATGATATAATAGAGTAAAAAAAACACTTTGTGTTTGATAAATAAAATTTCAGTATTACTATGATATCTGTATACTATTATTTAAAATTTTGAATGCATTGTTTGTTTAGAGTGTTGAAGGAGAGCATCATGAAAAAGCTGTTGAACTTCTTAAACAGGCCAAAGGTAATTCTATGTCAATATATCCATATTTGTTTTTTAGATTATCTTTACTGAAGATATTAGTGGTAAAAATTCTTATCTCAGCCATCTACTGTTTTGTTTGTTTTTAGCTCACCTGAGCTGAATGCTCAAGTGAGTTTTTTTTTGATCAAAGGGTGTCCAACATCCATTTGTCATGTGTCATGTGTAGTCTGTAAACTTTTCACATTTTCAACTTCTTCTCAAGAACCACTAGGCCAATTTCAACCAAACTTGCCACAAAGCATCCTTGGGTGAAGGGGGGTTCAAATTTGTTAAGATGAAGGACTATACTGCTTTTTAAGGGGAGGTAATTAAGAACAAGTGAAAATTTAATGACATCTTTTAAAAATCTTCTTCTCAATAACCACTAGGCTAAAAAAGATGAAACTTTTGTGAAAGCTTTATTACATAGTGTAGATTCAAATCATGATCCCCAGGGGTAGGGCTAGGCCACCATGGGCAATCAAAGTTTTACAAAGTAATATATAGGATGAATCTTCAAAAAAAAATCTACTCAAGAACAGTAAAACTCTATAATATTACTATGGAAGCATCTTCAAATACATGTAACATAGATTTAAGTTTGTTCAAATCATGATCCTGAGGGGTAGGATGGGGCCATCAAAGTATTGATACACTGAAGTATATTTAAAAAAATAAAATGTAATGTTTATCAGTTTGATATGCTGCATGTTGACCCTTTTCTGCTTAGATTTGAATTGGAATTTAATTACAAAATTTAAATTTATCTGTCTCACTTTTTAGCTCACCTGAGCTGAAAGATTATTCATATTTATTATGAAGCATCATCAGGTAGTGTAGATTCAAGTTTGTTCAAATCATGACCCCCCGGGGGTAGGTTGGGGTCACAATTGGGGATCAAAGTTTTACAAAGGAATATATAGGAAAAAATCTTTAAAAATCTTCTTCTCAAAAACAGTGAAGCCATGATTAGTTATATTGATATGGAAGCATCCTCAGGTAATGTAGGTAGATTCAAGTTTGTTCAAATGATGACCCCTGTGGGTTGGGTGGGGCCACAATGGGGGATCAAAGTTTTACATAGGAATATATAGGAAAAAATCTTTAAAAATCTTCTTCTCAAAAACAGCAAAGCCATGATTAGTTATATTGATATTGAAGGATCCTCAGGTTGTGTAGATTCAAATTTGTTCAAATGATGACCCCTGTGGGTTGGGTGGGACCACAATGGGGGATCAAAGTTTTACATAGGAATACAGTATATAGGAAAAAATCTTTAAAAATCTTTTTCTCAAGAACAGCAAAGCCTTGTTTAGTCATATTGATATTGAAGCATTCTCTGGTAGTGTAGATTCAAGTTTGTTCAAATCATGACCCCTGGGGTAGGGTGGGACCACAATTATGAACCCCGGGGTAGGGGGGCACATTTGAGGATCTTTTATTAGGTCACCTGAGTCACTCAGGTGACCTATTGCTATCCGTTTTTGTCCGTCGGCGTGCGTCGTGCGACGTGCGTCGTGCGATGTGCGTTAACATTTGAACATTTTTAGCTTCTTCTCTGAAACCGCTCAACCAATTTCAACTAAATTTGGCATATAGCATCTATGGGTGAAGGGGAACAAAAATTGTGAATTTCATGGTCCCTGCCCCCCTGGGGCCTGAGGGGTGGGGCTAAAACCACCAAAATTAATGCAATCTTTAAAAATCTTCTTCTTTACTCCTGGACATCAAACAGTCAAACTGTTGGAATCATTGTAATAAGCATTGAGTCCTCTACCAAAATTGTGAAATTCATGGCCCCAGGGTCAGGGGTTCTGGTGCTATGGCGGGGCTATATAGATCACATAGTGAAAGTGCATTATTTCTTTGAAAATCTTCTTCTCTGCTCCTTGGTATTAAATAAACTAACTAAGTATATAGTTATGATGAGTAAGAGTGACTCTTCCAAAATTGTGAAATTCATGGCCCCAGGGCAGGGGTTCTGGTGTTAGGGCGGGGCTCTATTGATTATATAGTGAAAATTCATTAATTCATTGAAAATCTTCTTCTCTGCTCCTGGGTATTAAATAAACTAACTAAGTATATAGTTATAATGAGTAAGAGTGCCTCTTCCAAAATTGTGAAATTCATGGCCCCAGGGGCAGGGGTTCTGGTGTTAGGGTGGGGCTCTATTGATTATATAGTGAAAATGCATTAGTTCTTTGGAAATCTTCTTCTCTGCTCCTGGGTATTAAATAAACTAACTAAGTATATAGTAATGATGAGTAAGAGTGCCTCTTCCAAAATTGTGAAATTCATGGCCCCAGGGGCAGGGGTTCTGGTGTTAGGGCGGGGCTCTATTGATTATATAGTGAAAATTCATTAATTCATTGAAAATCTTCTTCTCTGCTCCTGGGTATTAAATAAACTAACTAAGTATATAGTTATAATGAGTAAGAGTGCCTCTTCCAAAATTGTGAAATTCATGGCCCCAGGGGCAGGGGTTCTGGTGTTAGGGTGGGGCTCTATTGATTATATAGTGAAAATGCATTAATTCATTGAAAATCTTCTTCTCTGCTCCTGGATATTAAATAAACTAACTAAGGTCATAGTTAGGATGAGCAAGAGTGCCTCTTCCAAAATTGTGAATTTCATGGCCCCTGGGTCAGGGGTTCTGGTGTTAGGGCGGGACTCTATTGATTATATAGTGAAAATGCATTAATCCTTTGAAAATCTTCTTCTCTGCTCCTGGGTATTAAATTCAGTAACTAAGTACATAGTTATGATGAGCAAGAGTGCCTCTTTCAAAATTGTGAATTTCATGGCCCCTGGGTCAGGGGTTCTGGTGTTGGGGGGGGGGGGGGCTCTATTGATTATATAGTGAAAATGCATTAATTCTTTGAAAATCTTCTTCTCTACTCCTGGGTATTATTGAAACACATTAAATACATAGTTATGATAATCAAGGATGCCACTTTCAAAATTGTGAAATTCGTGGCCCCTGGATCAGGGGTTCTGGTGTTAGGGTGGGGCTCTATTGATTATAAAGTGAAAATGTTTTAATTCTTTAAAAATCTTTTTCTCTGCACCTGGGTATTATTTAAACAGACTAAGTACATTGTTATGATAAGCAAGGATGCCTCTTCCAAAATTGTGAAATTCATGGCCCCGGGGACAGGAGTTCTGGTGCTAGGGCGGGGCTATATAGATCCTATAGTGAAGGTGAATTATTTCTTTGAAAATCTTCTTCTCTGTCCCTGGGTATTGCTTAAACAGACTAAAGTACATTGTTGTGATACACAAGGATGCCTCTTCCAAAATTGTGAATTTTATGACCCCAGGTTTAAGGGTTCTGGTGAAGGGGGGGGGGGGGGGGGCTTCTATTGATTATAAAGCGAAAAAGCAAAATTTCTTTGAAAATATTCTTTTCTTCTTCTGGTTAAAAAAGCAAAGAAGCTATGTGTATAGTTATGATGAGCAAGTGTGCTTCTTCCAGAGTAGTGAATTTCATGACCCCTGGGTCAGATGTGCTGGTGTGAGGGTGGGGCTCTTGATAATTTAGTGAAAATGCATTAATTCTATTAAATAATCCTGTTTGCTTCTTAGTGTTAAGCAAATAAACAAAGTGATGATGAGCAAACATATGGTCCCAGGGTCAGAAGCTCTGGTGTTTTGGGGGGGGGGGGGGGGCTCTATTGATAATATAGTGAATCTGTAGTAAAAATGCATTATTTATTTAAAAATCTTCTCCGCACCTGGGCATATCTGAGGCAAACAGAGTAAAAGTTTTTATAAGGAAGGGAATTTTTACCAGATTTTTGAACATCTGGACCATTTGGTCAAGTGTTCTGGTACTGGCCAGAGCTCTATTAGTTTGTATTCTACTGAGAGGAGTTATTCCCCTTTGCCATTTACTTTTGATAATTTATCACTGTAAATAATGTACTTGAAAGGTAAATAAAACAAGAGAATTATGCAAAAACTTTTATTGTATAATACAAAAAGTACTTTCATAGTTTTAATGATCAGATAGACTTGTAAGTAGTAGATAAATAAAAATGAGACAAAAATAACTTGTCTTATTAAATATTCATCAAAGACCAAGAGATGCCAATGTAAGAGATTTCAACAAAGGATTAAAATAGTACAGAAGCATTGATAATTTGTTAATATACTGTATAGTGATAGTGATAAATGGGGAACAGATTAGAACCTAATTTATGAACTGTTAATGAATATTAAGACCAATTATTTTGTTGATCATGATCACCCTATTTTTCTTGCTTTTGGGCAACAAAGCTTCACCTTTCAGTTCATTTTATACTCTATGCATCCTTGAAATTGTTATATCATACTCAGGTGACCGTTAAGGCCCTTGGGCCTCTTGTTTTTCCAAAGGAATATGTAGGAAAAAATCTCTAAAAATTTGCTGCTCAACAACAACAAAACCATTTATAATATTGATATGGAAGCATCCTCAGGTAGTTTAAATTCAAGTACCCCCCCCCCCCCCCCCCCCCCCCCATCACCACCACCACCATGTAAACTTTTCAATGCTGAACTGATTTGTGCTTTTTCCTACCCAATGTACTCAGGTGAGTGATGTGGCCCATGGGCCTCTTGTTTTGAAGCATGCATATAAGATAAACACTGATGATGAAACCATGGAAGTAATTGTCTTGACTTTCAGTTGCAACTCCCTCTACAAAATTCCTATTAGATATACCTGTACCATGAAGTTCGGCCATGAACATTTTGGAGAATATTTTGTTTATATTACACTTTTTAACTATAGGTACAGTGAGACTAGTGGTTCGCTACAATCCCAGGGTATTAGAAGAGATGGAGGCAAGGTTTGACAAACAAAGAGTGTCGTCCAGAAGGAGGCAATCACCATAGCAACCATCATAACAATGTTCATCAATTCTCATAAAATAGATCAGAAAACATGGTTTAGTTAAAAAAAATGTATTTTGTACCCAGATAGGATCAAAGCCACCAATGGTTTGATGGCTTGACATTGTTCAGTTAGGAATCAATGAAAGGTTAGTGATGTAGACATGATTAATTGGCTGTCGTTTCATAGAGAAGTTTTTTATTCTGTATTCATTTGTAAATCAGGATATTCATTTGTTAATCAAGGTTCTCTTTCCTTTTTTTTTTTAGCATGTTTTAAAATTTTGCTGCAATAAAGGCACTTGTACATTTTTTTAAATGGTAGAAAGTTTACAATTTGCAAAATATATTGTATATAATATACTATATATACATGTATATTGAAAAAAATATTGGTTGTGTTAGATTAAAGGAAATAAAAGGTTTTAATTTTACATGTAGTCAGTTTGTAATTTTTGGAAACAAAATACTTTTAAGTTAATTTTGTTGAGGAATGACAGGTTGTGTATTGCAGGGTTGCAGTTGAATCATAATCCCAGTTTGCAGGGATGGGGTCAATGACATAGGAAAGTAATTAATTAAATTACAATTACTTGCCCAAAACCTTCAATTAAATTACCATTACAGGGATTTTGAAATGTAATTAATTAAATTACAATTACTTTGCACATGTAATTAATTAAATTACAACGCAGCTGTGTTAAGGCTGTCCGAAGGCTTCAAATGCACTAAAAAATACAGATTTATATGGTCTGTGTTGTGATTTCAATATGAAATTTATGCATATATGTACAGCCAACTTGCGAAGAGAGTTTTATCAGGTATCAATAAAACATAGTTTTGTAATGTCACATGACTTCGGTGATCACATGACAGTCACTTATAATATTTCCGAAATGCTGCTCAAAAATCACATCAGCACAAGTGATAAACAAAATTATTGTGAACCTTTTGTAATATGAATCACTTAATTGTATCGTGTTGCATATAAAAAGTACTGGGGGCAAGTCTTAATTTGTTTTATACAGTAAATATTTCATGAGAACTTCATCTTACTCACACATTTCAAATGGCAGTTTGGACCTTAAAGAAAATTTCTTTTAAATTTATATTTGAGAAAAAAAATATGTACCTTTTCAAAATTTTACCTCAAATGAAAATTGTGTGAGTTCCTTCCATAGCTATATATGCCCCCCCCCCCCCCAAAAAAAAGGGGGCATATTGGTTTGCACCTTGGTCAGACCCATAGGAAGCAAATTCAGTTTTCGTGGGGAGGGGGGGGCACATTTTTAGTTTGGATGGGCATTTCCAAGCAAAAATGCCTTGACAAGCAGAAAAAAAGGTCATCAGATGTAATTACTGAGGGGGCACATCCATAAAGAAGCTTTGTTTATATAGTATACTACAGGTACTTTTGCTTGACAGACATCAAACTTGGTACACTGGCTCCACTAGGGAGTAGATGACCCCTGTTAAGTTTGCAGTCTCAAGGACAAGGTCATCAAATATATAGACACTAGACATTAGACATAGGAAGATGTTGTCAGCTCAGTATCTTGAGAACCATTTACGGTACAGGCATCAAATTGTGTACACTGGTACCCTCTAAGAAGTAAATTACTTCAAATGAAGTCAGACTTTGTAATATGTTTGCCCCTGACTAATAGATGACCAATTGTTTTCACTGTTATTCTGGGTTGTCCCTAAGATTTGAAATAGCAAGAAACATTTAAAAAATAGAAGGGGGTTCCTCCCCCAAGAGGGGACTGAGGGGGAATACAAGAATAACTGGGCAATTATGTCATTATAGGCAGGGAAATTCCCTGGCTACTGGGTCTTAGGGACAACCCTGGTTATTACAGACAATCTTTCAAAGTTTTTTTTTCCTTTTTAATATTGCCATTTGAGGAAGAGGGGGGGGGGAGGGGATGGAAAGCATATATGTTTCTCAAACATTTCTTGTTAACTGTAGAAGTAACTGCATTTGCTAGTATGAGTTTTTCTGTAAGATTAAATGTTTTTGATGATGTAAGGTAGAATCCATTTTTCTCCTTCATATTAATGACTTCATTTAGGGGAGTTGTACATGTATTTTGATGGAATGAGGAAAAGTACAACTGAGAGGTAATCAAAAAGAATGAAGGCATACAAGCTGAGAACAATCCCCCTGCTCTAAGAGAAGATATTTCTCAACTCTAAAAATTTCATGAAAAATCCATAATTTTCCACAATTTTGTTGTCATTATCATCTTTCACATATTTGATTCCTTTATTTTATTGAATTAATTATTGATAAATAATTTTTTTTCTATATGTTTATAAGGTATGTGAGAAGAAAAAAGAGCCTAAAAAATGACTCGAACACTCTCCGGAGCTCGCTGTAAGGTTAAATGCGCTAGCCACTATGCTACAAAGTCTTCTTACAATTAAAGTGTGTCAGTATGGTTCAAATAAACGAGTTTTTTGAAGCATATCTTTTTAGATCTACTGGAGAGCGAATGTAAAGTAATTTGTCCATCATTTGTCTAGTTGTCTGTGAACAATTTTTTCAAAACGCTACTCCTCCTTAAGTTTGGGCTGATTACAATATAACTTGGCACACGAGTAGAATAGAATAAGAATTATATATAATTTATGGATTCATGATTTTGATGAACGTATTGCCATGGTTACTAAAAATAGAAATTTCTGTGAAAGACTTTCAAAATGCTACTCCTTCTACAGTTTTGGTCTGATTTTAATATATTAAGTTGGCCTGTATATAGACTACACTTAGATACATAATTCTATTTATTGTTTTTTTTTATTTTGATGAACGGTGTTGCCATGGTTACTAAAAACAGATATTTCTGTAAAATTCTTTCAAAGGGCTACTCCCCCTACATTTTAACTCTGATTGAAATAAATCTTGCCACAAAATGAGACTACAGAGGGATCATTATTCTATTTATTGCTGTTGCAAAGTTTCAAGTTTAAGTGCTACTTTTCTCTTCCTTTGTTATAAGCACAAACCATTAGAGCTACAGTCTCATCAGAGACTTCTGGTTTCAGAAATGTTCCATTTTCATATAGAATGGGTTCAGACTCCATTATTTTTTAGGAACATAAAATAGATTTTACATTCATTTTCCCGTCATTTAAATATTAATCTAGAATGGAGACCTGACACATTAAATTAAAAAAAAATGGCTCCATTAGACTCATTTTAGACTAAATATGCTTAACAGTCAACTCGAGAGAACAAATTATCAATAAATAAGTTATTCAATAAACTAAATGAATTAAATGTATTAAAGATGACATTACTGACAGCAATATTATTGAAAAATATAACTTTTCCATGTACATGTACTGTGAAAATTGAGGAATATATTGTGTAAGAGCGGAGGGTTGTCCTCGTCTTGTACGCTCCCATTCTTAAAATGTGAACTGACACGATTAAAAAAACTTATTTTGTTTACAATTTCTTGATCTTAATTTTGACAATACATATTCGCATAAGTTTGACAAGCATGCAAAATTTCATCGTCTTATTCCAAAAAAAAAAAAATAGAAAAAAGAAAAATGACTTCGTAAAAATCAAAGGCGGTAAATAGCGTCACGAATGTTTTCCCCCAAAATATTCGTTTGGTTTCATCTCTGGTGCCGGTTCACCCAATACTAAAACGGATTTAAATCATTCTGGATCTAAGTTTACCTAAGAAGGACGGAATTGCAATGTCTGGGAAATTTTCTCTTTCACAAGGCAGACGCTACTTGTTAAAGCGTGTATCATATTGAAAAATTCTGAATTAACTAGGTGGAGGTAAATGCAAATTGAATGACATGAAGATAAATTTTGCATTTACCTCCACCTAGTAAATTCAAACTTGGATATTATCTGTACTGTTTTCCTGTATGTCCGGCCGTCCCTGAACCACTTACGTCACTTAAAAACTAAAGATTTGGACAATTGTTTCTTCCCTTGATTTAACACATATTTATATTTGATCATTTCAATTAGCAATTTCTTGAGTTTCATACGAAACTTTTATAATATTGCAAGAATACACTTAGCTCTCCGGCGTCATTTTTCCCCGATTAATTAATAGATTTCAAACATTACCAAAACAAATTACCATATGCATACATCTGTTAAAAGTATTCAAAATGAAGGCGATTGTTCAAAAAACCATGCGCGAATCGGGGAGGGGGGGAGTTATTAATGTATACAGTATATATTGAAGCAAATAAAAAATTAAATGACTTTGGATCCCCTAGGAAACGTGAACCCCACAAACCTGTGTTTCAGGATATATTAATTTTTCATGTTCTAAAAATTACCAGAAATTCTATTTCAGTGGTCCTTTATTGTTATGAGAATAATTAAGGGTTCAGTGTGGCTGTTAAGGCATCTCAAGGATAAGGAAGTCTCCTCCGTTGTCGAAACGCAGTAGCCAAGAGTGATTCAACCGACATTAAAATCACTAAGAAAGGTGTTAATGAAACTTGCCTTCGGTAGTTTAGATCAACGAAAAAGGCATCGTCGCAAATCATAGCCAAAATGTACGATCCACTTCCATTCTGGAGAAGGCGATGCGGACTTCGGACCGTGGCTAAATTTGATATGATGCGAAAAAGGTCATTAAAATAAAACTTTATAGTAAGTCTTAAAACTGGCCACATGTTACGTACTAAAGCAAAGGTATTGCAAATGGGGTGGGGAGTTAACGGGTTGTGAAATCTGCCTTAACGTCATGTCCCCCCCCCTTTTTCATAAAATCATAGATCCGATAACTCGATCATCAGCTTATCATGATAATGAGGTCGGTTTATAACTTTTATGGAATTATACTACGTGAATTTGAACTGTAATTATTAAACTTTATGTTTTGTGCTTAAGTGACAAAAAATGCAAGAAATTCTGAATGCTTGCATGATCATTTGAACACGAAAGCCTGGAGAGCCGCTCCTATGCGGAATATAGCCAAATCCGCTATATACATAAACATATGCTAAAAACATTTTTCCTTCAACAAAATTTCAGTTTCCTAATTCTTTAAACCATTATCAAAGAGGAGCAAAAATCCATTGGCTGACTCGCTAAGTTTTTTTTTTTTAAAGCTGAACTTGTTTTATGATTTCCCACGACAATTCAATGTAAATCCATTTATAAAAATAGCCTAGAACAGAACGTCATTTCTAAATAAAGATTTTTTTTTAGAAATACGTTTTAAGATTAAATGATGGATTTTTACTGACCACTTTCTTGTTGTATACAATATATCTATTATCATTTTTATTAATGTACAATGTAATCTACCATTTATAATTAAAATATTAGCTTTTGAAATGGATGATGCAATGCTTCTATCGGCTTTCTTAGATATTTTAAGGATGAAATCACTACGCATAAAAACATGAAAGGAATGTAAAACCCACAAATTCAAATATATATTCCACAATAGATTTTTCCTATGCTTAGTCTCATGTAATTTTTCCTATATCAAGAAAGAAAAATTGTAAAATAACGTAATTTCCACTTATCAAGCGCTATTTTTTTAAGCGCATGTTATTTAGTTTAGCGGGAATTTTCCGGAACTTCCGAGAATGATCAAACCTGAGAAAACATATGACAAAATGAGTTTACAATCAGTTCAATTTTTAAAGTTCACAACAACGGAATGAGAAAATGAATCGATCTTTGAAGGATTCTAAGAGTGTCTCCAAAAATTCAAAGGAATCAGAAAGTAGTAAGTGTAGTATTTTAAAGGAAACAGATCACCGAGATTGGCGAGAAACAACGTCCGCATTTGCTAGGTCTATGTGTAGGTGGCCATTTCATAATCCATTTGAGTGTGTCGAATTTATCCCCGTGGAATATAGTGAAAGATTTAAAGAACTTATTCCCGAACAAGACGATAATAAGACAGGAACATGAATATGAGACTTTGAGGATTATTGTGTCTGTCATGAATCCATATGGAAAAACGAAAAGTTGGTTCTGTAGAACTGACCGCTGTGATAGTACATCAGTCGGTGGGCGAACTGTGCCAAGTCTTTTAAGGCTTGATAGTACGGGTAACACACTTAATAAGAGAGAGAATCATACCGCTGTAAATAACAGCATGGCTTCTTGTTTTGCAAAAACTGTTGGTGGCATTATACAAAAAAACAATTTGCTTTCAAAGGATAATTTTGTTGGTAATATGTCGGACTTTCCAATATTACAGAATTCTTGTGATTGTGCTTGTGATAAAAAAATGGCAGCTAAAAACAGTGACTCTATAAACATGCCTGTAACTTCCTGTTTTGGAAGTTTTCAGGGTTTAGCTGGGTGCCTTGGCTTGAATGCATGTAGTTCTATTTCTCAACACCCAACATTGCATCATGGTCATTTTCAACTACCTTATCTCCAATTTCACCCTGCTGTTGTCAGTGCCTTTCCACGCCAGACTGAATCTGCGAAAAAGCAGTTTGTGAAATGTCAAAGCCAAAGGACAGGGAAAAAGAGCAATCGTTATTTCCGATACGGATGGAAAGCTCCACCTAGGAAGTCTTCCCCTGAGGGTGAAAAGGCAGGTGCGGAGACTACAAAGTCTGAGGATGCTTCAGTACGCAAAAAGCAAAAATGTGATAAGTCGGAGAGGACTAGACAAGATGTAGAAAAAAATTCAGAAAAGAAGAAGGAGGAAAAAGCTAATTATAGTAACAGTGGAGATTGTTTATCTAGTCATATGTGTAATTTAAGTCTTGGTGAAAGTGTCGCAATCGAAAATGCTTTAAATGATTGTACAGCTCTCAAGTTTGTTTGTACTGATTTAGACAAATCAAAGCCAGACTGGTTCAGCATTGGAAGGCAAGAATCAGAAATTAAATTGTCGCCATCAAACACAGTGACAGTATTAGATAACTGGGATGATGAAATATATGAAGAAACCCAGTCAGAAAATACCAAACTTCAAGAAGAAATTTCAGCTCTATTAGCAACTGATGATGTGAAAATCGGTTCAAAACCCAGTGCTAACAATACACAGAATATTGGAGATGAGCCAGTGCAAAGTATGGACATGGAATGTGAAAATACTTCTACCACCATTGTTAAATCAAACTGTAATGACAGCCAGAAAATTGTCACAGATGTTGATGGAGTTGATACTCATCAGTGCCAAAATAATGAGCCACATGCTGTGTTATTTCAGCGCAGTATGCATAAGAAATGCCGCCCTTCCAACAAAAAACGCAGTCGAAGGAAAAGCAGCAAACATCCAAAGTCTTTCAGATGTGATCAGGGTCAAAAAAGAAAATTGGAGGATGGAAATGCTTCTAATTGTGGTGCTAGTGCCATAGCTTTCATTATGGGAAATTGTGATCCACATTCCATTTTAGACAGTGATAGTGAGTTTTCATTTGACAGTGATGAAGATTCCTGTGAGTCTATGGAGGATGATATTGACTTTCAATTTGCTGACCCTCTTAGTTTCTGTGAGAAAGCGATTTTCCCTACCAAGTCCAGTCCAGGCCAAGAGGTCAGTCAAGCTGTCAGTGCAGCAAATCGAGCCTGGCATATTGGGTCTCAAGAGTCTAGCCCCAAAGATGCTCAGCTGGAAAATAAGAAGGTATGTATCTGGGAAAACTGATTTGTTGGATCATGCTAAAAGAAACTGTATACAAGTAGGTCTCTGTAAAAAAAATAAAAAAGAAAATTGAAGAAATCTTCAGTTTACTGTGAAAAGTATACATGCATCTATTATATGATTTTTGTTATTTAGGTGTTAATAATTGCAATGAGGCAGAATAATTGAAAGATAAAAATTGCTGTTTTTCAGGTACATTTTGCAAGAGCAGAGAATCTTACAGTAACTCATGAAGCAGATGAATGGAACCGCAAAGGACATTGGGAGGAATATGCAAGAGATAGAGAACGATTTAAACGAAGAATAGAAGAACTTCAGAGAGTATTAGATCCTGTTCTGAAACAGAAACATCGTGAACATGTGTATAAGAAACTTCATACTGCTTGAATGAGTTGTATGATCACAAATTGAGAATGATACAAAATGCTTGGTTGTGCATCATATTCAAAGCAATGCAATTTTTGTTGGCTTTTTCTTTTCAAAATTTAAGTTCAACAATTTTAAGAATTCATAGGAACAGGGGATTATAATCTGCAATTTTTTAACATTCAGCAATTTAGATGATTGGAGAAATTTGTGATTTAGATTGCATATGAGAAAAGGTATTTGATTTTAATCAAGCTTCTTGGAATTCTTTGATGCTGTCCTTAACTTACATTTTATGCACATTATATTACTGTGTTTAGTTTTACTGTGAATATTAGCATTAAAATATTTATTGTTGATTGAGTTGTTTTTTTTCCAATTAAAGGCCGAGGTTTTCAACCGGTCGGTTTTCCTCAGGTAAATTTGGTGTGGGGTGGAGCTTAATTGATACGGCTGTGAAGCCCCGAGGAAACCAAGCTGGCTTGTATATACCTACCTATATACACAGGATGTTACCTGTATATTACCTGTTAATATTTTACTAATACATATAGTTTAACTTCGCGCGTTGGTCAATCGAAATGTTGATCGTCAAATTTATGAAATAAAACGTGCTAAATTTTTTATGTAGACTGATTCCTTTAGTTCAATTCTTTTTCTTAAAAATATATGTTTGAATAAAGGAGACAATTTTAGTTTAATTTTGTGCGTTAATAAATTTCAAATCTTTTGGTTGTAAGCTGGCGACACCGAGGGAAATAGTCATTCGCAAAACGAAAGTAGAAAAAAGCGCGGTCCTGAATAATTAAGTCTCTTAAACTTTGAAATCCTGTTTGAAGGCTAAATTTTGTAGAAAATATATAATAAATTAAATAAATATTTTTTTGTATAATTCCTATAAGTGATTAACCAATGATGCATGGATGTTTCGTAAAAATGGTCATGGCATCGTATTGTTTCTCCGAGAGGTAGACGGAACAAGAATACAATCACTTGGGATCCATAATTCTAAACTTGTATATGCAATGACAGCTTTTATGAAACTGTTTATTTCTCTTTAAGACTGGTTATTTTACCGTAACTTTCATCACCATGTCTCGAAGAAATATTACACCTCTTAAAATTTTTAACTTGGACAATATGACTATATATATGACTGATATTCTTTTTCATTTATTTAATTATTTGACAGACTGATTAAATATAAATTAAAAATGGCTAATTACTTTATCATAAAATAATAAAAAAAAAAATAATATCAGCTCTGGCTGCTTCTTTATCACGATGTTATAAATTATATGCGTTAGGCATCAAAGACTGAATGTTAATTCAATGATCGTTACGATCCCCAGACAAGGTATACAAGATATACACAACGGCAGGTAACAAAATGTCAATCAATTTTCAGTATCCAATCTCAGGCTTAATGTCATCTGATTGACAGGGGTTCACAGACCAGGTAAAATAGAGGGAGGTGCTTATTTCCTCCCCCTTTAAGTATTTTCTTTTTTTTTAAAGCTCACCTGAGCCAAAGGTTCTGATCAAAATTTGTACATTGTCATTGTCCATGTTATCACCATAAACTTTTCACAATTTCATCTCCTCCTCCAGAAGTATGGGGCCAATTTGCACCAAGCTTGCCACAGAGCATTCTTGAGTTAAGGGGATTCAAGTTTGTCCAAATAAAGGTCCACACCAGGGATGGGGTAATTGAAAAAAGTAATTGTAATTGACTGTAATTAATTACATTTTTTGAAGTAATTGGAAGTAATTTGTAATTGAACATTTTTTCAATAACTTGAAATTGTAATTTAATTAATTACACTGAAAAAATACCATGTAATTTCAATTACTTTTTCAATTACATTCAATTACTTTATATAATACACATTCATGATATATTCATAATATATTGTCACCACTACCTCCCCATTTTACTGGTTTTTATTTTATTGTTAAACATATCCTCAATCCTTCATTTATACAAAATCTTAGGTTAATGCTCACAAAATAATTAAATGATTGGCTTGATAATAATAAACTAGTTTCTTTCTAATCATTATGTAAATTTTGAATTTTTTGATCTATGTTTATAAATATGAATTTTGAACCACCTATCTTAGGTCTATTCAGCTATGAAACACACATTTATTATATTTCAATCTTTGTTGTTTGATCAATAATAAAGAAAAAGAAGGTGTGTGTCATTAATTAAGTTCTCTCTTGTTGGGAAGAGATAATTGCCCTCCAGATCACAGCTTTAAATTGCAATCAAAACAAAACTCCTCTAAAGAGATATTCATTCCATGATTTAGAAGACAAAGCCAATGAAGATAATTATTTCAATTTAAAATGCTCCGCTAGCTTTAGAAAAAAAAAACCTTTCAATTTGATAATTATTTTAACATCTAAACAGATTTTTATGAATGAATTTTCTATCTGTACAATTCTGATTTATGAAGTAAAATTGTTCAACATAGATAGCAATTTAGGATGTTCAGGTTACCTTCAAAGGAAATATTTAATTTGAGGGGTTACAGTTGCGACTCATTTCACTCTATTAAAATACTCACTTTTAATCAAATATCATAAGCCATGCAATTTGTGTACATGTAGGTTTTGTGTGGTGGAAACTACATCAAACTGATCTCGGATAGTTCTTTAAGGAGATTCTTAATGTTTTGTAAATAAATGTTATAAAATTTAATTAAACCAGAACAATACACAATGCCTATAGCATATTATTTCTTGTACTGTTTGTGCAGAGGCTGAGCTTATATACAAATAAATGATGTTCTGTATATTCATTGACAAGGATTATAAAAATTTTCAAAAAATTAAAAAATGTAATTTGTAATTTAATTAATTACTTTTGCAAAGTAATTGTAATTTAATTAATTACATGTCTTACAAAGCCTGTAATTTTATTGTAATTTAATTGAAGAAAAAGTCAAAGTAATTGTAATTTAATTAATTACTTTTTAAAGTAATTGACCCCATCCCTGGTCCACACCCTTGTTCAAGGGAAGATAATTAAGAATTGGTAAAAATTTGATGGCATCTTAAAACTCTCAAAAACCACTGGGCCAGAAAAGGTGAAACTTGAATAACAGATTCTTGATGTAGTGTAGATTCAAGTTTGTTCAAACTGTATCCTCGAGGTTTAGGGTTAGCAACAATAGGAACTATATATATATATATATATATATATATATATATATATATATATATATATATATATATATATATATATATATATATATATAACATTATTAATTAAATAAGCTAATTCAGAGAATTTGTGTCCCCCTGCTTGACGAAAAAAGAGAAGGGTGGAGGATCTTAGAGAAATGCAGTTGGAAAAAGAAAAACAGTTGACCTTTCAGCTCTGGCCTCAAGTCAATAGGGGTCATTTGTAACTTACCTGAGCTGAAAGCTAAGTGAGCTTTTCTGACCACATTTTGTCCCTCTCTCTAGCTGTCCATTTGTAAACTTTTCATATTTTCATCTCCAGAACCACTGGGCCAATTTCAACCAAACTTAACACAAAGTATCCTTGGGTGAAGGGGAATTCAAATTTGTTTAAAAGAAGGACCACACCCTCTCTCAAGGGGAGAAAATTAAGAATAAGTGAAAATTTGGTGGTATCTTTTAAAATCTTCTCAGAACCACTGGGCCAAAAAGATGAAACTTATGTGAAACCTTCTTTACATAGTAAGTCATAGTGTAGATTCTAGTTCGTTCAAATCATGCCATCAGGGTAGGGTTGCACTAAAATGGGGGACAGGGATGGGGTAATCGTAATCGAGTAATCGTAATCGATTGTAATGATTACTTTTTTTCAAGTAATCGACAGTAATCTGTAATCGAAGAAATTTTCGATTACTTGTAATGGTAATTTAATCGATTACAGCTAAAATTTTCAATGTAATTATAATTACTTTTTCAATTACTTTCGATTATTTTATACATAAATGGATGTTATTTTGGAGAATTATTTCCAGTCAGTCACACATAAATATCAAATATAAACCACCTAGTGTAATGTTTGTATTTCCTAACTTTTATTATCATAAGTTTAATAATGTTCTCAATAAAATTTGCATTATAGACCTTCTTGTCTAGTATTAAATAATTCCGAAGTGTATTTCAACCATTTATTAATAAAATATACAGATTTTCGTGTGCATTCTACATTTGACCCACTGTCCTTTTGCTGCATGTCCTTTTTCATGTTTCAGATGTTGAAAAACTGTCTTGTAATAGAAAATTATAAATAGCAAAAACAGATTCAAGTGCTGTATTATATATAAATAATTTGGTAAGTAAACTACATTGTACTCGAAAAAAAAGAAGATAGAAATACTTATTCATATCTGAAAATGTTTAAACAAATTCAAACTTGTGTTTTAGTAACTTTAAAATTTGAAAAATCATTCTCATGTTTTCATTCAAAATTGTAAGGTTACTTTTATATCAGTGAGAGGTTATATAAGTGTCTTTAAGAGAGGGAGTAAGTGTCACTGTGTTTGCTTATCTTGGCTAATTAACTGACTGAGACATCCCTGATTTGCAGATAATGAGGTGTAAACTGTGAACTACCTAGTGTTTAACTTTCATTCCATGGAAGACAAACAATATCATTAAAACAGTTAATAGCTCTCAAAACACTTATTTCAAAACAGAATGAAACTGTACTATTAGTTTGATAACTTAAAGACCCATTTAATTTATATGTTTATTACTAAGAGTTCTAATTTACTTGTTGTTTTTTTTTAAAAGACACGTACAGGAATGTTTAATGTGTACTGTCAACATACGGGCAGCCCAAATACTTCTAATAAAGTAATTCACAATAGAATATTAGATAATTTTTGCAACAAGTCAATAAATATGGAGGTTCAGATCCAAGGTTGAAAGTAATAATTAATTCCTTGGCATATTTTATTGTAGGAATCATGTCTCCACTTTCCATGGTAGAGAATCCCTCATTCAGGCATTTCAATTCAATTCAATTTATTGACAATTACCATGTCGGCATACAGTCATGAACAATAATAACATAAAACAAATTAACACGATTAATACATACATACAGTGAGAATTAATACATACATTTAGTGAGAATGTTAGCCAGAATAAAACCTTAAAAGAATCTGCTCTGAAACTGCAGGAACACATTCAAACGTCAGTGGATAACATCAACATTTACCATTTAAATATTGCTTTGATATTTGAAGGGATAAAAACTTGGAAGTAATCGATTATTAATCAATTACATCTTCCAAAGTAATTGATTACAATCAATTACAGGACAAAAATGAGTGTAATCGATTAATAATCGATTACACAAAATTCC